CTATTTTTTTTTTTTTTTTTTTTTTTTTTTTTTTGTTATATTTTAATTTCTCTGCGGTTTAGTCGATTATTGCCCCGTCGCCGTCGCCGTCGCCGTCGCACGGACGATCTCGTCGTCGGTTAGGTAGCTAATATATTTTTTTTTTTATTTATTTTTTTTCCTTCTTCGTGCGAACGTCGTTCGAGAAAAAAAAAAGACTAATCTGAATAAATTACGACGTCTGTTATAATTATTATACTATCGAAACCGGTTGTGTTAGTGGTAGTAGTAGTAGTATAAGAGCGGTAGTACTGTTGTAGTATAGTAGTAGTAGTAGTAGTAGTAGTAGTAGTAGTAGTAGTAGTAGTTGTATTGGTAGTACCGACGGGTTTTTCAGCAGTATACATATACATAGTAGTTGGAGTGATCTGATTTTAGTGGAAACCCATTCCCTCCTCTCTCGGTCCGTTTTTTTACATTTTTTTATACCGTGCACGACAAACATGATCATATTATTATATACATACGATCGGTGTGTGCGTGCGTGCGTGTGTGTGTGTGTGTGCGTGTATGTGTGTGTGTGTGTGTGCATGTGTGTATTCGCCTGAACTCTGCAACTCGGGACGAGTGTCGGTTACCAACACGTTGTTACGATGGCTAACCGAACATTTGAAACGTTTCCCACTTCCTGTGGCGTCACCGCGACGCCGGTCTTTTCGACGAAAATTTAAAAGAATTAAACGGCAAAAGGTACTGCAGACGGTGGGCGAATGTGTTTTTGCCCACTCCGCGGTCGTTGTATAGAGTCGGGGGAATCGAGGAGGCAGGAGGGGGAGGGACGGCGCAAATTCATAGCCTATATTATAACGTATGTATTGTACGCGGCACGGTAAATCAATGCGAATGAAAAGCGATTCTGAGCGGAGTAATATTGACCGCGTTTCGATAATATTCGAAAGAACAAAAAAAGTAAAACCGACCTGGGTGGCGCGTGAACTGTTAAAGGAGAGCGGAAATGACGCGTACTTTTCACTAACCGAAAGTGTTTGAGGGAGAAAAAATAAATCAAAACTTAAATAGCGATTTTTCGAAAAAAGTATTGGATATTTTCAAAACGTAATTAAAATGAAGTAATATTGAGCGAAAAATCCACATTTTTTAAGATGTGACGTGGCAAAAACGATGCATCGATTTTTTACTGACCTAAAAATGTGTTTTCTGAAAAAAAAAAACCTCCACATCTTTGTAAATAAATAAATGCGATAAATGCTTAAAACGTTTAAAAACTACACGCAATAGTTTTATTATTGAAGGAGTTTTTTTTTTTTTTTTACAAACTGACTAAATTAAACGCTATCAATTACAGTGGTGTATTCGAGCGTATACGAGGGTAACTCGCTTCTTGACTTTTTCGTCAGTGCGTATATATTCAAAGGTTAGAATACACGAGGTAATTTATAGTTTATTTGCTGCACGCAACGATGAATAATTTTAAACAAAAAACGATTCTGAGCGAAGGAGTAATAGTAATCGCGTCCCTTCCAGAAAACGACGGGATAGACAAACAAATAAAAAGGACTTCGGGAACACGAATTACTGAAAAAGTCAATAAATGTTTCAAACGCGTCTTTTGGGGTACTGTGTAAAAAAAAAATGTTATCGTCTTATTAACCGAAAATGTGTTTTCCGCGAAAAAAAATCACATATCTACTGACGGGTGGTGTGCTCCTGTTACAGGTGAGAAGTCGGGAGGGTAGGATATATATCATCGTGTAATTCAATGTATTTAATTATGTCCGGACGAGACGATAAATCATCGCTAGAAAAAAAAAAAAATAAACGATTCTGATAGAAGTTTTGAAATGCCGCAGTTTTTATGATTTTCGTTAAAAATTCGAATTTTGAACGCTTATAAAGAAATATTAACAACAATTACTGCCCTGACTGTTAGAAATAATAAGAAAAAAAAAAAAATCGGTTCTACGAATTTTCGATATTTTTTTTATAATATATATCGTTTGCGGTACAACTTATGGCAAATTCTATCGCTATCAAATTTTCGAACAATTTTGAAAAGCCAAAAAACAAACGCGCACACACATCATTGTAAAACCAAAACATTTTTCACGTTATGCGATCAGAATCTAAAGGGGGTGGACAGGATGAAAGGACAATGTTTGAAATTCGGAATGTTTATCGGCACGAACGGTATAAAATACCGATTATACGATATATTTTGTCATAATATTTACGTTTACAATAATGCGGGTAAATTACTATAAAAAGCCGGCGCGAAAAATATTATAATACAGGTTTAATAACAATATCTGTATTTAACAGGGCGCGAATTTCGTTATGGCGATCGCGATAAACGGTATAACAGTTCAGGTTTTCAGGCCTATTTTTTTTTCCCGAGAGGGGAAAAATTTCAAAAAATGTCACTATCAAATTCTCAACGAATTACTCAGTTTTTCCATTATAAATGCGACATATTTGAAAACTGTCTGTAATCATTTCTGAAACGTTACGCTATCCATATTTGTCGTCGCGATTATTTTCGACGACAAACCGGCAAGCTACTATTGATGTCCGAACATAAAATCAATAATTAGACTGGATATTAGTTTTTTTTTTTTTTTTGACGATGGCGCGTGTGTGATTTCCGTGAGTTTAGGGAGAGTAACGGATATACACTATATGTACTGTTCAAACGCCACAAGAATGATGGACTCCGAATACTCAGCCCCCTCCCCTCCTCAACCGAACTTAAAACTGGAATATCCGGTCAACGGGTCGACGGAAATCAAAAATGTCAACACCGAAACGTATACACGAGCCGATACTCCGTCTATTTATGGAATTTTCAACGTGTATAGATTGCCATTTGAAAACCGCGAATAGATTATCGTTTCGTCACCCGCGGGTGACGAAAATTTGGACGACGTAACGGTTTTCATACGAGTCGATTTCGTTGAAAAAATTAGTGTTTTTCATCGCAAAAATTCGACTGCGACGTGAAATTCGGACGGACCTGCGTTTGTTAACGGAATTACGACGCTTATCTATACATATTCCTCTGCAAACAACGCTTTGATAATCTAATTTCGCTCCGCGCCAATATTTGAGCGGCGAAAAAGAGCGGGATCCTCCAGCCGTTTGTAAACTCTTAAGACGGCGGGATATGCAGAGGCGAAGAGATGCCTCGGACGTTTGCGCAGTTTCCCGCGAAGTAAATTGACACGCAGACGCGTTTAAGTCATTTTCCTTTTCAAAAATTAAATTACGAAAATCGTTGATTATAACGTTCCGTATGACACGCAGGCTGCGGGCACTCGAAAGTGATAATTAAATAATATCGAAAATTAATATTCGAAATAATTCGATTTCGTAACGACGTTTATATTATAATAATTATCGCCGGTGTACTCACGGCAGCACTCTTTCAACTCCGGCGAGCAAACACCGTACTTTTAGCGTACATCCGACGGCGTTTTAATAGCCGGCCCGATACGAAAATAATCGGTTTTAAAATATACTGTCGCACCCCGCGACGACGCCTATAAATTCGGGGTGTGTGTGTGTGTGTGTGTGTGTATCTGTATGCGTATATATAGGTACCTGACGCCCCCCCCCCTCCCCTATATTAACCCCCGCCTCCGTTAAAACTAATGGATTTCGCGCGAGTACTGTCTGTATATACATTATCATTATATAGGTACGTACGTAACGTTATAAAAGAAAGTTCAGAGCGACTAGAAATATTAAAATAATGAAATTAAAAGTTTTCGATTTCGTTATTCGATTAGGCGGGTGTATTTACTTATATATAATATTATCCGAAAAACTTTTGGATTCGACATCCAGACCAAAAAAAAATCTTCTCGGACTCGACCCAACCTGTTGTTAATAATTGTTTAATATTGAGATATTACGTACGCACGTAATACGTATATGTATATGAATAATAATATTATGATAATGTACTACCGGGAATGATAATAGTGAGAAAAATAAAAACCAAAATTAATAATAACACCGATGGTCCAGCGTAAAATAGGAACGGCCGGAAAATGATGTTTCGGTTGTTCAGGGCTTATGATATTGGACTTTATTAAGTATTGTTTTCAGTAGTTGAACGACACTGCGTATCCCCCGCGATGATACTGGACGGACATAGTTTTGTTTTTTTTTTTTTTTTTTCATGTTCAACGTATCGACGCGACAACGAAAATGTATGAATATTAAACGAGCGCGTCAGATCGAATCACGTCTGTTCGACGTTTTAATTTAGGAATCGTTGTTTGATACGTTCCTTATTTAACACAACATAGACCCTCGCAGCGGCGGATCTAGAAATTTTTCAAACGGACGGGACGTCAGCAAATCGACTGTAAATTATACGTGAAAATCAAACTAATATAAAATATATAAACAAAAACCGTAGTCCATTGACAGGGAGGGGGGCGCGTGCTCTTGTGCCCTCTTCCTGGATCCGCCACTGGACCCTCGGCATTACCGTGGTTGTTAATCGCGAAACAGTTAATCGGTTAGTTTAACAAATAAGTCAAGTTAATTTCGTATTATTATGTCCTGGGTATATTATTATACCCGATTATAATTATAATTTTATTTTGTATTATTCGGCAGAACGTTCGGAATTCCGAACACATTTCTTTGCTGGTGTATTTATTTTTTTCGTCCTATTATTATTTCGTTAGTCGTAAATTTCAAATATAAGAAAAAGTAAACTACACTATAAATAATGATTTCTTCAAAAAAAAAAACTTTTTCAAACTTAAAAAAAAAAAAAAAAAAAAATAACATTAAGAAGGTATTGACGTTGTGCCGTTGAAACAGGGATCTGTTTTATTGAACTTACTCCGTAATATTATTATTATTATTATTATAATGAATCCATTCGGTCGGGGGGGGGAGGGGGACGGGTTTAGACGTTTAATCTAATAATATAATATTGAAAAAATAAAAATAAACAATCGTCGCTTTCGAGAAATGTACCGGCGGCGTCGTTGTGACGATTTGAAGTGTCCGTCGAAAACCACATACGGTTTTCCACAAAGTCAAATGTTTCGCCGTCGACGGCGGAGAGTTTTTGTTAACGCCCTCTTTAACAAAGGCGGAGGGACACACATAATTTATATTTCCAGTGAATTGACTATAAATTAAATTAAAATGTATAAATAAAAACTGTAGCCCGTTGACGGATGGGGGCACGTACACCTGTGCCCCCCCGTTGATCCGCCACTGGTCGTCGGTACCTATACATACAGCCGCGATAATAACTAACGAAACGGAAAAAAAGAGTGTCGTATCTCTCGCTTTTTCCCGGCTTCCGATCTAATCGTCTCGGACGCTATTTTTTTCCTCGGGGCGACGCCTTTTCGTCTGTTTCGTATACGTTTCGCGTCGCCGAAGAACCAGAGTCGCGGGCCCGAGGTTTTCCGAAATCCGTCGGATCGTACGAATCTTCGAAATATTTTTGTCGCAGAAACGCCGCGAACGAACCGTACCGACGTACGCTCGAACCGTCACCTCCTTAAATCTATTTAGTAATGTATACTATTTACAGATACTACCGTAAAAGTTTCTCTGGCAAATATTTTAAGATTAAATTCCCCGTTTTCCGAATACTTACCTGCCTGCGAAACGTCCGCTATTCCGGTCGCCCACCCCCCGCCCCCATTTCTCTCCCGATCTTATCGAACGGTACTCGGTATAATATGGTGTCGTTATAAACGCTTACCTGGTCCCACCATCATGATGGTCACCACGGTCGACAGGCACAACAGCGTCGCGGTGGACAGCGATCCGTGTCGGGTCTCCGGGCCGCGGCGCCGGGACGTTGGATTTCCGCTCATCGCGGCCGCGTTCGGCGAATACGCGGTTTCGGGGTTGGCGGGCACGATCAGCGACGGCGGCTGTCCGCGGAGACGTATGACATAAGTGTGGGGACGTCGGGCGTCCGACGGAATAGTTATATTGTTCGCGGACGGATTTCTCGACGGGCCGGGGATATAGAGAAAAAAAAAAAAAAATTGAAAAAAAAAAAACCGAAAAGAAAAGACCGTCGGCGCGCGTAGGAGTCGCGGACTCGGAGACGCGCGTGTATTGCGCGGGGGCCGGCGAAGAATAACGCGGCGCGCGGACAGCGGGTCTCGGCGTCGGCGACGACGACAACGGCGACGTCGACGGCGGTGGACGCGGTAGGAGAGACGCAGTGAGAGAGATACAGAGCGCGCGCGCGCGCGGAAGACCGGACCGTTGGTTGCGGAGCGACTGACGATACTGAACAGCGGCGTGGCGCGCGCGAAGACGACGGCGATGGTACGGTAACAACGCGCCGCGTGTTGTGCGACCGGTCGCTTATCGCCGCGTCGTTCGGGCGTTCGGTCCGCGGGCTGCCTGGTGCTGCTGTTGCTTCCGACGCTCCTCCTTGTTATTGCCGCGCCGCGGCCGCTTCTGTTGCCGGCGATAGAAACACACGCGCGCGACAGCGACGGAACGACCGAGAGACGACGCGTACGCGTTAACGCCGTAATGGTAGTAATAATAATACGTCGTAATCGTGCGCTTGTGTGCGTGCGCGCGTTTGAGGGTCTCGCGTAAAGACGTAATATTAAAGACGTACGGGAAGAAGGGTGGGGGGTGGGGTGGGGTTGTGCGGTAAGTAGTAGTAGTAGTAGTAGTAGTAGTAGTAGTAGTAGTAGTAATCGTAGTCGGCGGGTATACTGTAGTCTCGACGCGGCGCGAGAGTATACAGTCGGAGTGCAGTCGTAGTGGTGGTAAGAGCGGCGCGACGGCGAGGACCGGTAGCCTCGGGGGTAGAGCCGACCGGCCGCCGCATCTGCTCCGCTGTACGGCTGCCGGGGAACGGGTCTTGGTTCGAATAAGAAAAATAAAAAAAAAAAAAAATAAATACACACACGAGCAGGTACATTAGAAAAAAAAAAAATAATAATAATAAAAAGATCATCGTCAGAGACCCGGGCCGCCACGTGTGTGCGCGCGCGCTAATTGGCGGCGGCAGGGGCCTGGTGCGCGACGACGACGACGACGACGTGGACGAAAAAAAATAAAATAATATATCAATACGTTTACACGATAAAACGAAATGTTATACTATTCAGACACCTACACACGCGTTATTATCGACAAACGAAGACGATTTTCGTTCCATTGATTCCGAATAGACGCACGTATTTTTATTTTTTCGGAAGGCTTCACCGGGTTTCGGCGACTATGTCAGTTCGGCAACACAAAGAACCAAAAGGGTCTTCGTGTTTCCCTCGGTTGCGTCCATTTTATATGACCACTTTCCGCTTTTCTTCGGGCGCTAATTTAAGGTTGTATCTATTTTCTTCCAAAAAAAAAAAAAAAAAAAAAAATGGTACACAACTCCAGAAAAGGGCGTATTTCGTTTTTTTGGTTATGGAGCGGGGGAGGCGACAGTATGCAAGGTTCGGTAGACAGGATTAAGGCGCGTCTACGCCGCTGCGATAAACGGTACACTAACCTTCACGGTTTTATATGGTACGATTTGAAAACGTAGTAATATTATTATAAAATGTGCCCCGCGGGTGGAAGTGATCGACCACGGAGTCCTACGAAAACGCATCCAAAGCCATATGGAGGAATCCCATTTAAGGGAGGGTCTAACGTCCCCCCTTCACCGATCCGCCCCCTCTCTAAACACGGACAATTAAAATGTAACGTACAATACATATGTACGGTGCGATCATCGTGTGGGAAAATAATAAAATAACAACGGCGGCGTGTCCAACTCACGAGTCTCGTGAAAATTCGAATCGCGTTTAACGGCGAACTACCCGGAAACCGTGGAAGTGAAACAAACTGTGAAACAAACTTTGTTTCGATTTTTTAGGTATTATTCAGTAGATTGTGGAATAATAACTTCGTAAAAAAAAAAAAAAAACCTAATAAACATCCGTGGGGCCGCAGGATTAAGCACGGAGCCCGGGCTCCTGACCCTGAAATATCGAAGACCCCGATGGGTTTATTTTTCCACACAACAATTTTTTCATAATATTTTAAGTTTTTAAACTCATTGGCAAATCCAAATTTTATTTATACAATGCGGTTTTTTTTATTATTATTTGGCTTTATAGGTGGCGGCATAATTAATACGCCGCATCTTGAACTTTGCGTCTTTGGCCTGTTATTAACACCTATTATCGAATTATTGTAAATCGGTAAACGTAGGTACTTACTTGTCGATACAGTCCCGTGAGACCGCGTCTAATAATTATTATTACCCCGCCCATGCACATGCACCGATAGTCACATTAATGACGATGTGAAATTAGCGCGGTGTTTTAAAAAGAGAAAAGAAAAGCGACGTGAAGTATAAAACGTACGATTTTATTTTTGCATTTTTAAATAATAATTTATCGTATTATCATGGAAATTGTCTGTCGCAACAAACGCATTGAACACCTTTCAAAGTGATTATTCTGTTTTAATTTGTATGATTTTTCTTTTTTAGATTCTCTGCGGAGCGATAAAGCTTATTATGGTGTTTATTTTTTTTTTTTTTTATCTGTGTATAACTTTTCCGCCAGAAATCTCGCTCTGATTTACAATGATAACCCTTTTCCTGAAAGAAAATCTGACTGGGGAAGTACTTTAGGGAGGTTGTTTTCTGATTTTCCCCAGGAGTTTTCTCAATAAATGAGAAAAACTGGGAAAAACGTAGGAAAATGTAGGTAAAATATTGAGCAAACGTTATCAAAGAAAACACACGTATTTGTAATTATTTTACCATACTATGACATATATTATAAATTTCGACAAAGCAACACTGTCGACCGAACTCCATTCAGAACCGTTTTTTCGTTTCTATAAATCCGGACAGTATATAATATCTGGACGATAAAAATAAAAATATAAAATATATACTTATCTTCACGGTCGTTTCACAATATAATTCAAAACTGTTATTGAAAATGTTTGAAAACTAACCCACCGAAGACGCGATATTTCTTACACCACCGCCTTTGGGGACGTGATTTTTTTTTTTTTATTATGCCGAAAAATTCAAAATATAATAAAGAGTGCGTAATTCATACACACACACATACAGACGCACGCATACACACACAAAATAAAAACATATTTCTTTACAGAAAAAATATCGTGTGCTATTGTGATGGCGAGGTGAAAAGGCGTGCAAAACAATAGACGAGATTTTATATTATTATTAGCGGCGATGGGTATAATTTGTTTCTGCGACGAAAACGCCCAAATTGAAGTTTTATACAATATTATTATTATGTTTTCCATTATTGTTATTATTAAATTTTTTTTTTTTTCTTTCTGTTCTTTAAAACTTCAAAGGGGCGCTCGACTCTCGATCGCGGGCTACACGCAATACGTTTCGCCGCAAAATTATTACGCCGCGGTTTTGCCGCGTTGCGGTCGCCAATTCGAAAATGTTATTAAACATTTCGGCAGGCGCGTCCGAGTCCCGGGACCCGCGATCGAAAACCCACACCTAGCTGGGTCCAAAGGGGGAGGCGATGAGGGGATCGGGTAATGTACCGGTAGAGTCCCGGGTTCCCGCATGGATACTTACTAAGGGGGTTTATAAATTTGCAACACTACAGATAGTCGAAAACAGTGTTTGTAATTTGTACCAAAATTAATATGTGTATTCGATTGTCGAGTGTTCGACTGTCAGTGCTTATTCGATTGATCCACATCGGTATAATAGACAATTTTAGCCGATCTAGACTACTAATTTTAAAAATCCAAAAATTATTTTTTTTTTTTTTTTTTTTTTTTTAAGATAAGTTTATCTTTGGAATATTTTGTTTCTAGATAACGAATTTATCAATTTACACACTCGTTTTATAAAATATTATTTTTTACATTGTTTGATTGATATTTTTAAACTTGCATACATTTTTATTCCATTTTCTCACTTAAAACGATAAAAAAAACAAAACAAATACATATGTACATGTATTTATTTCCGGAATATCGAACATCTAATAACGAAACTGTGTAGACGCAATACTATTGAAAGAATTATCGATTAGAATTTTGATGCGAATTATAAATTTCTATTTCTAACTGCCTAAGATGGTGCAAATTACAAGCGCAGTTAAAAAATGTTGGCGCGAATTACGCAATGCTGTATATATGGTTAGGTCAATTTTGGTGCGAATCGACAACACCCATTACTAATCGTTCGTCTGTATAGTATATTGCAATAAAAGCTAAAATATTTTGAAAGTTTAGAAAAATAAAACACACTTTATTCCCGTCATCCTATAATATCTACCGGTTTATAGAAGTTTTAAAGAGTACCTAAACATATTGATACTCTGCACATTACTCACATTAATGAAAAGTGAAAAAAAGAAAAAAAGACATCCTAAGATAGTAAGGACGGGTGCAGCCACAGTTATAGGCAATTTAATGTATACTCCGAAATAGTTTTTCAAAATAACAAAAAAAAAAACGGCATGATATTTGTCATTATCCGTTCATTTCACTAATGCCGCCAAAACCATATAATAGTAATATAAATCGTATTGATTTCGGTAACAAGAATTAAAAAATTCTCCTATTTCCTTTTGATGTACGATACTTTTTTTTTTTTTTAAATTTTATTGTTTTATTTTGGTGATTTCAACAAAAGCGGATATCTATTTATCTATAAACAGGAGGTATAAAATATCTCTTGTCAAACACAGGACGTAGATATTTTAATATAAAATAAAAAAGTCCATAAACAAATAGATGGGAACGTCACTGAAGTATATTCAGGACATCGGGTTCACGACATCGGCCCGACGGATAGAGAGCCGAATAATATTGTAATATATCGGGGTAA